TACGGTAACAGCGAGGCACAGCCTGGAAGGTTCGGCCCAGTGATGATCAAGTATCGCGCTAAGAGAGAACAGGTCGACAGTCGATCGTCTGGGCAGCCTGCACTTCATGCTTTTCCTTCTTTTTGCTCTCTCACATCATCTCTCCTTCTCTCTGCTTTTTTTTCTTCCTTATTTTTCCTTGTCTTTTCTGCTTTGCTCTTCTGCCCAGACAAGATTGTGGCCTTCTCAATGACGGGTAAGATTATGAGATCTGAGGGCTGAGTAGTGAGTTGAGAATCTTCCATTTGAAGAATGAGTTGAACAAAACGGAAGAATTCAGTTACCTCACTGCCTCATACCTATGGTCTTCACTGATGCCAGATGTAACCGCGTTGGGGCCTTAAAACTGGTTCTTGGTGCTGCTTGAAGCTGTGAAATAAGAATGAACCTTTGTTCAGCGTATCTTCCCTCGAACGGCAAAAGAGTTGATTCGGAGAGGTTCATCCGGCTGCTGCTTTTGGGTTTCTGTCCTGGCTCATTAACCTTGATTTGTTTTGTCATACAGGCAGTTAATAGTTAAGTATTGGATTTTCTCTGTAGCTAAACATTTGTTTAAGCCCCTCATATTTGTTCTGCCCTGATTTGTTGCAACATCCTTGTGGGAAAGGAGGACTGAGTCTTTGTAACAGCGGATCCTCAGTGCTAATATTGGTGAAAGTGATGTTTTTCTATCCAGGTCAGTTTTTCTGGGTGATTCTGTGTTTAAGGCCCCGAGTCTTATCTTGCAGAAGCACTGAGCATGCACAGCTGCATCCATGGTCAAAGGAAACGCAGCTTTAATGCTGAATAATCAATAACTGGGTAAAATGTCTGGGGTACTGTAAACTGCAGAGTCCGTGTTGTGGGTGTTGGATAACAGAGCAGTGAGACTTTTCACCTCCTTTTTCAAGCTCATGGGGAGGTGGGCTCTCAGCGACCCTAACCTCCTCTCTCCCCTGGTCTCTTCAGCCTGTTTAGTCGTTGTCTACTCCTGGGTTCTTGTTTCAGTTCAGTTTTTTTGCTTGTGGCCAGATGAGTTTGTTCCTCAGGCTTGGCTCAGTTCTCCAGAGCCCTGTGTCCATGCTGCAGGCCCGGACAGATGAAGAATCCCTCTTTGGGTTCTTCTGGCTCTTCCACCAGCACTAGGTTTTGGTTTTTTCTGTTGGTTGGGTTGGGTTTTGGTTCCTCCCCTCTGCTTTGGTATCTGTTGGGCAGTGATCCCGGTGTTTTCTTCAAATGGCAACACTTGACAGGAGGGGAGGTTGAAAGAAAACCAGAACAAAAGGACTAGATGGAGGTAAGGAAGAACAACTTCTTTGTTCTTGACAAATGTAGGTAGGGCGCAACTTCTCTGAAGGAGTTCCAGCATTTATTGACCTCTTCCTTTCTTGTCAGCTACGAATTAGCTGTAGTTGGTCGTAGTTTTGCATCTTGTTCTTTAAACTCGGGGTTACACAGCCGCTGCTCTGTGTCCTGCAGCGTGAAGCCTCATTTCCGATCGTCTAACAGCTCGGAACACACTGCGGAGGGTCCAGCTGCCGTCAGTACCGTGCCGCTAGGGGACGGACCACTGAACAGAACCAACTCAAGGAATTTTGTCATGGAGCGGCATAACAGTACGTTAACCGGGCAGCAAGACCAAGGCTATTCCCAGAAGGATTCTCCAACCGCACAGATGGAGCAGAACGGAGATTATGGCATTGGCAGGGGCAGGTAAGAACTGCGTGCGCTGCTTTGTGCCGCAACTCAACAGTGCGGTTGGGACACGGTGTTGGAGGCTCAGAGGGCTTGTGTGAGTCGAGGATCATCAACCGTTGGCACAATATAGATTCCTATAAAGACTGACCAGGAGAAAACTGACATTTAAATAAACCAGGCATGATAAATACTTAACTGGGAGCATGAATGCTTCCTGCCTGGCTGCACAGCTAGTCGTTCTTGTAAGATAGCGAGGTGTCTTTAGTTTGACATAACTGCCTGATTTGTCCCCAGAATTAAAACAGTTGCTGAATTAAAGTTGGTATTTGTATTGATGTAAATAATAAGCAAATCCTCTATTGGGGAATTTGATTCTCCTAAACATTGTGAGATCAACTGTTTTTATCTTTTATCTGTTAGTTCAGGGATTAGACACCTTAAAAATGAGTGAGCAAGACAGATAGGTGAGAAATCAGATTAATAAGTTTATTGCTATAGAATTATAGGATACTGTTCTATAATATTGTAGTCTAATTGTCACTGTGCTTGTTCAGATACAGTGCTCTAGGGTACCTCCTCCACAGGGAGAGAAAAGAGAAATTGTTTCCCATATTGGCTGTGTTCCAGGAGTGTAAGAGCTTTGACCCCTCCTGGAGATGGAGGACATCCCAGAACTGTATCTTGAGAAACATCAGTCGGCGGCTGTAAATCCTCTTCTGCCACAGGCTCCCCTTTGTGCGGATGAGTGGGCTCTTCAGCTCGGTGAATGGCACTTACTGACTTTTTTTTTGCCTTTAAAGGAGGAACATTTTCAGAGGTCGGAGGAGACGAGAGGATGACCGGGTTTCAGTAAGTTCCTCTTCCCTTCTTGCGCAGAGTTGCACAAAGTGCAGTGTGTTGGCTTTGCATTTACTGAAGGAACGGCATAGTCCTTAAATCCTCAGATTGCGCTGTGGGTATTCAGCGTTTCTAGGAAATTCTGCTTTTAGTGCTGGGTGTTAAAGCTCTGGTGTTTTCCTTCTCTAGAGACCTCAGCCTTCACCAGAAACAAAGACTCAGACACCAAAGTTTGACTTGCTAGCATCAAATTTCCCACCTTTGCCTGGCAGCACAGCAAAAATCCCGGGAGAGCCTGTGCTGGAGAGCAGGATGTCCGATATTGTTAAAGGAGTCTGCAAAGAAAAGGTACGTGCTCCTGCCTCTGCTGTGCACACAGTAATACGTACATGCCGTGTCCCCCTCCTCCCCTGCTTAAAGAAAGACCAAACATGACGCTTTTTTGAAAAATATAGCCGTGTTTTCTGTCTTTCTGTTGTGGGATTTCCTTTTTACAGGTATTTAGCTGAAGTTTCTGTAATTACGGTATGGTAAGCTCGGCACTGTTTTGGAATGAAGCAGGCAGATGAGTGGTGTCTGTTGAAATAGGAGCAGTTTGTGGGTAGTGTAGGCAAGGGCTGGTTCCTGGTGAGTCTTATTTGAGCTGGTGGGACCAAGCATTGATAATTTGGGCGAGATATCCCTGCTGCTCATTTTATCCACTATTTGTTTTGACCATGTAAAGAGTGACTGGTTTAAAGACAGTGCTCCAAAGCAGTACAATTCCTATAACCAGGACTTGAGCAGCGTTTGGAAATATTCCATTTCTTTGATGTCTCAAGCTGGCATATTGAGGAGCAGTTTAAACACATCTGCGATCTTTCCGTATTTTGCCATTTGTGTTTTCTGTACAGGAAAGCAAAGACTTGCTGCCCAGCTGTGCAGCTCCTGCTCAGGAAGAACAGACGCTCAGCACCGTCCCGCAGCCTGTGACGAGTGAGAGTTCACCCAGTCAGACTGACGCTGTGGTGTTGAGGTATGCAGAGTTTAATATTCTCGATTCAGCTAACATGCAAGTTGTAGCTGGTGGCTGGCAATGTAGCAGTAGCGTTTGTTGTTTCTTCTCTGTTTGTGGTAGGCAGCTTCTCTAGAGGCCACTAGATGGAAATAATGGTGGTAATGGTGGTGCCATCCTGTTCTGCAAAAAAACAGTTGTGACTTAATGTTTGAGACAGTATTTTCTTTCTTTAATTTCTGCATGAGTAGGTTTTAATGTTAAATTGTTCTTGATTTAACAGCACAGTTCAGCCAGACAGCAAACCAGAAGACGCGTGTGCTCAGAAAGATGTTACAAGCCACAGTTCCCCACCGGTGTCTGTCTCTCCTGTCAGTGCTGCAAAGCCGCCAAGGACAAATACCACTTCACCCCCTGGCAGTGCCAGCGCCGCTCCGGCGTTGCCGATGCAGGTACGGCCCAGAGCAGGGCGAGGGTGGGGAGCGTGGGGAGCTTTCTCTTGGATGTGCTGATGTAGCACCTGGGGCCTTCTCTTGTGCGGTTTGCCACAGCTGTGGTGTAATCGCTCACTCTCCGTGTTCTTGCTGTTGTGCCTGGGATAGGCTGGGAGAGCGTAGCGTGGTTATTCTGGTACGTAAACCTTGCTCTTCTCCCTTGGTCCCAAAGGAGCCCCGCAAGCTCAGTTATGCTGAAGTTTGCCAGAAGCCCCCAAAGGAGCCTCCTCCAGTTCCTGTTCAGCCTCTGAGGGAACATCGCACCAACATAGTTCCTCCTGCCAAAAATGAAGAAAATGGCACACCTGAGAAGGCTCCGGAGAAGGCTCACGACAAAGTTGAAGGTCGAATGAAGGATTATTCTGGGTTCCGAGGCAACGGGCCTCCCAGGGGAGCTGCTGGAAAAATCAGGGAACAGAGGCGCCAGTTTGGACGCAGATCGTCGCCTCAGGGAGCACCTCGACGTATCGGCAAGGAGCAGTACGTGCCACCCCGGTCACCAAAGTAACGCTTGTCCAGCCAATTATTCTCTGTTGAATTTGAGCTGTGGACTAGTAAGCAGCAAAGGAGACTGTGAGAAAGAAGTATTCGTGAAGGGGAATACTGAACTGGAGCGTGGCTTGTGTGGAGAAGTTGTGGAGGGTCCCAAAATTCATCTCTAAAAGTGATTTCACAAATGCTGGAGGATTCCAATCAATATAAATATAGAGATTATAATTTTTGTATTTCTGTTTTTAATTTGCGGAGGGTTTCCTGCTTGAAATCAGTTTTGGGGTTGTGAAACTAGCATTTTGACAAAGTGAAAGAATATGAATTGACAAATTAACCTGTCCCTCAGTGTAGGAGGAAAAGGATAAGAGAACATTATTTTTGAAAAATGAGCATTTCTGTAAAATTAGAACTTTTTTTAACCTATTTAACATTTGGCTTATGGGATGGTGTGTCTGCCCTTGGCCTTGCACTGCAGAGCCCGTCTGCAGCTGAGGTGCTTGATCGGCGTGTGAGTGGAGTGAGTGCAGCCAGATACTGTTGTTACGACTTAGTCACTGATGATGAAAAACTGAATGTACTACTGTAGTAAACTTTGTGTTTCCAGCTTGAAGTATAGGCTCTTGACTTTACTAATAATTCGTTCAGCAAGCTTTTTGAACTATTAATTTTTACAGGATACTGGATTGTAGAGCAGAGCACGTGAACAGCAAAAATTGTCTTCTAGTCGCAGTTGGAAGGAGGCAGAAGGGAGCATGTCAGAATTTTTAATTTGACCTTTTTCCTCATCTCCTTTTGAGGGCAACTTCTTAGGTTTGGGGTTTTTTTTTCTTGCTTGTTACTTTCTCTAATCTCTTTATTGCAGACTTTTGTGCATTTATCTTGGTATGTTTTCCTGAGATGGGCCCAGTATAGGATTGACGGATGGCTGTGACGTTCACCTCCCCAGTAGAGATCCTGGAATTCCAGTGGCAGAGGTGGAATTCTGCCTTGCAGGGGGGAACGCTGGGCGCGGGGTTCTGCGTGCCCTTGGCTAGCAAATCAGAGTTGGGGCTGGGTTTTCCAGATCCTGACCCATCTTTGTGTTCTGCAGTAGGGCGTTGGATGCTGTATACTAGAAATCAGGGTTTACGTCTACTGGGAACTCATTGTTTACAGCTGATGGTAGTAGCAACTCACTTGTTTTAACTGTTTAAAGTGGAACTAAAGGTAAAGAGTTAAACAAAACCCCTCATGTTCAGAGAAGCTGCTTGAAAGGTAGCATCTTGCCTAGCTGTACGCTGACTGAATTTGCAACGCTATCGTGTAGTAAGTGGTTAAGTTTAAAGGCGATTACCATAATGACCGAAATAGGAACGTTCAGTGAATGAATCTGCCAAAATCAGCATGCCAGGGTTCAAAGTTCTGTATAAAGCGGTAGGGAAAAGTAGCTTCCAGCGGTAAGAATCACACCTTTTTTTTTCTTCTGTTTTTTTTTAGTGAATAGCAAGTGTACAAATCTAAAGTCGTAAGTTGTGAACACTGGAAAACTCAATTGTGATATATGCCGTAAACATCTTAGTAATATATACTAGTGTTGCCGTTAGAATGAATGTAAGTGGCAGTTAAAATAACTGTGAAAATTTTCATCTTCTGATTTCTTAGCCAGATAACCCGTGGCGACTTCTTACTCAGTAGGCATTCTCTATCAACTGCTTTGAGAACACTCATATCTATTTTTATAAATATATATATAAAGCCAGAGTTGTCATTTCTCTAACTTATTATTCAGCTTGGCGATTGCTTTGATTTGATTCATAACACAATATAATGTATTTATGCAGTTAACTGTTCATTTCTACGCATGTTATATATATTTACATATATATAAAAAAAAAAACCAAAATCATTATTCACTTTTAAACTACCTGTACTGGGTTTGGGAGGTTTTTTTTAATTTAGTAAAAAAAATCGTTGATCACATCTGCAGTTTAGGGACGCTTACAGAACCCTTCTCCTTTTATTTCAGTAATGTGTTGGAATGACAGAGAAGTTTAAATATTTAAAAGTGTTAAAAGTTCTGAAATGCAATGAATTCAAAGATAATTTTTAATCATTTTAAAGGCTGTAAACGATGACTGCGGTCAAACTGGAAAAACACAAACCTGTATGATAGTCACAGATATTTAGGATAGATGTGCACTGTCATTGCGAAGTTGAACAAGCGTTGGGATGCCGATAGCTGCTGTAGGCTGTTTGCAGTTCGGAGGAAGAGTTATTGGGGAAGAGGCTCATGCGGATGTCGATCCCTAATTCTGATCCACGCGGGCATCTGCTTTCAGTGCCGTGCATCAAAAAACCTCATAGTGCTGAAAGTACCTGAATTGTTAACAATTGTGAAATGTAATTTCTTCATTTATTCGATGTGGAAAGCAAAAATATCTGCTGTTCAATCTTTCTTGTAAGGCGATTGGAAAAACTTGACCGTGGAAAGGATGCTTTGTGTGTCCTGGGTGTGCGTTCTCCGGCAGCAGATAATGGCTCTTGTACAGTGTATGCAAATCGGTCTGTAAACCTGTTGGCTTTTTCCAGCATATTCTGTCTTTTATCAGAGTAGGGCGCTCATCATTATTTATTTAATACCTGCGTGCGAGGATTTAACATTAGCATTTCCCTTCTACCCCCTCAGCACCTCCATTTATAACTGTGGGTTTTAGGTTTTTTTTTTCTTCCATTCTTCTGCGTGTGTTGGGGGGGAAATAACCAAGTAAATACAAAGGCTGTGAAAACCATGGTTTTGTGTGCAAGTTCTCCTGCAGTACTCGTATTGCATGGCAAACATAGAACCTAGACGGGCTAGCTGCTATGTTTCTCGTCCCCGTTACAGACTCAGGCGAGCGAGCGGTTGTGTCTCTACGCACGGAGTTTGCCTGTTCTGACGGACGGGGGGGGAAATAGGGACAAAGCGATCGTTCGGGAGCCAGACTGGCTGCTGGTACAGCTCGCTGATTTCATTTGAGTTGTTTTATCAGCGGAGGTGAAGCTGTCCCTTGTTCAACAGCGATACTCAGTGTGCACTTGAAGTGACAAGTAACAGTTCTCCGTGGTTCCTTCTTGGTAGCTCACCACATGATGTAAAAACAAATTTTCCTGCTCTGCTGATATTAAATACCAGAAGGTGCAAATCACACGTAACTTTCAGTTTTATGAACTGTGACTTGTTTTCAGAATTGTTAACTTTTTGTTAGCTACAGAAGTATACTTCCCCAGTTAAGTTCTTTTCCAAATTATTGTGCGTGGAAAAGATCGGGCCACTCTCTTGTACTTCTGCTGGGGAGTGAAAAGAGAAGTAATTATTTGCATGTGATAGTAAAAGTGCAAAAAGTTTTTTTCTTTTGATTTCTAAAATTAAGTTAGTTTTATAGTATCTTACATCCCTGCTATCT